ACTTGATAAACAGTCTGGATTCAAATCGACCTTGAAACAAAACACACAGCTACATTCTAAACATCCCTCACGTTAATTACTGGAATCCGACCTTCTGTGAAAAACATATTTTCCACTCAAAATAATTCTGTTAAGCCTCATTCAAGATGGCCATGAAGTTCTTCGTTTAGCTTCCCTCACATGCATTCCTAGAACCAGGACCACAAAAAACAGTTCTCGGTCTCACTTTCAGTTAAGGTCTGCACAATTCCACTCCAGCTAGGGGTACTTCTCTCCCCTCCCTATGCTATTATTCACATTGGTTAGACTCCCTCCCACACCGAACATGCTTTCAATTCAAACCCTTATCCTCTTCTAAATCTTCGATCCTCACTTTCCCTCTAGAATCTATGAACATTGCTTAAAGCGATTTAAATTTTCTCTCTGCCATTCAGCAGAGGAGTCTGAAGTTTAAAACTTAGAACTACCACCTTTGTCTGGCTTATGAAGTGTATCAGCTTCTCGTATCATTCAGGGCCCCAAGGACAGCCACAGTGACCATCTTCTGATTGAACTCTGTGAGGCTCTCTAGCATTTAGCATAAAACATAATAAACAACAGAAACTGCAAATCCTCTCAGGTCTAGGCAGATCATATATATTTGATAGGGCTAGTATGGAGAACTGTTGAGACAAAGACAAGGCATCTTAATCAATAAGGAAAAAACAGTTCAGCTATCATTGAGGTGGAGAAATTAATACCAATTGCAAACTTCTCAACGTGAGGTTGCTTCTGTGGAACCCCACAAATCCAGGGATATATAACAGAAAACTACTATTTGGCAAGTGACTTTCTTTGCTTGACAGATGCAAGATATTGTGCAATTCTAACGTCCACCCTTCTAAGTAAAATAGATCACTTGCCAAAGTCATGTTGGATCACATACAAACTATCCTCATGAAATCAACACTCAGCAAGAACTCCACTTCGTTGTCAGTTACTTGTGTAATCTGGACTACAAAGATACTTCCATACTGCTCAGAAGGTCGATATAATGATCTTATTGAAATATACCTGTTCTATAAATCAACACAAAATATGCACTGCTCCATGTCAGAAGGTTAGAGTTTTAGATTACTTCCTCATTAAAAAAGGATGTTTCTGATGGATTTCAACAGGAACTATCTTCAAAGGTATTTAAGATTTTTCACTCATCAAGAATAAAATAGAAGCACATTGATGGTTTAATGAAAATAACGATGGTAAAGTGATAAACAATGAAGACAAGTCACATCTATAGGTGAAACCAACCCTTCTGTAAACCAGTCCCGTTCAGACATCATTATACTTACAGGATGGAAGACTACATCCTGGAAGAGCAGCAGTTCTGAAAAGGATTTAGGAATCATGATGGATAATCATCTAAATTTACAATCTTTTAATGCAAATAACTGAGACTGAAAGATTTAAAAACGCAATCCTCGGAGGTATAAACAAACAAGCGAAGATATAAACTGAAAGGTTCAAGAATGTACCTGCACATACTACACGCACACAGCAATACTGAAATTACTACCAGATGCTGTATGCAGTTCTTATGTCCACGCTTTAGAATGGATTTCAAAACATCTGAAGTTTCAGAAGAGCCGTAAAAGCTTTACAGTTAGAGACTTAAGGAACTCCATCTATATAGGTTATTAAAGTTAACATATTTTTATGTGAATAAAGTGAAATAGTTTAAAACTAGAGTAGTTATTCGTTATTCTAATAAGCAGCTAGCTATCTGATGGCCAGCAGCTGTAACTAAACAGTCCTAAAACTGAAGGAGGACTAAGAGTATGGAAAATAATCTAGCTGAATCACTCAAGAGACACGGAAAAATCCTCACACTTGAATAATCTATATGAAAATCAGCTATCTTTTTCAAAAGTATGTTCTACCGCACCAAAAAGATACTGACTTCATGATGCAGAAATAACTAGACTGAATTCTAAGGATAATGGCATGCCAGCCAGATTATTTCATTACCATGGTCGCTTCTGGCCTTAAAATCAGCTAGTCTGTAATAGGTAGAAAGCTGCAGTGCATATAAGAACATTCAAACTAACAGATGATAATATAAAGAACTCAAACTACAAGTACAGTCCATCAGAATCAAGCAGAGCTGTGTTCATACATCAATGATTTGTATACCTTGCTGTTTCAATTAAAAACTCAAAATTATCTGTTATGCCTCCAACTTTTACTTTCATATTTTTAAGTCTGTTTCACTGTATCTGATATTTACATATTATAGTATAATTATACCTACCATACCATGGCTTGGAGTAGGTTAATTGCATAGGAAGATTTACTATGTTTACATTTTTTCTTAAATTACTCTTTTTTTAAAAAGCACAGTAAAGAGTCTGAGGACAAATTATTCAACTGTTTATCATACATAAGACTGCATGACTATAATACAAAGGGCTTGTCTTTTCATTTAACGTTACAATATACACAGCAAGTCCGGACTAGATCTTACAATCTGAACACAGGTATTTAACCTTTTCCATGCTGTTTATGTTTACAATGCACAGAAGTCCTGTAACCAAACTGTGTAGTAAAGCACACAAAACTGGACTGTAACATAACACAGTATGCAGAAGCACTGGATTTTATGATTTCTTCTTTATGTAGATATTTTTCTTTGAACTGCTTTATTTTTTGGCGCTTGCTAAGGTGTGGCAACCCGCGCACACAAAAAATACCCAGATTTCATATTACCCTTATATTCCTAGACAGCAGTAAGTACTGGATTCCTTTTTGTATTGCTAAACTCAGCATCCTGTTTCTAAGGTGACAGACTTCCAAATCCTGAAACTTCTCTGAATTACTGAGCTTAAAAAAAAAAAAACCCAACAAAAAAAAACCCACTTTCATCCACAGGGTTGACGTGTCAATACAAAGGAAATATGGATCGCTTGATTAAAAAAAAAACATGATTTGCAAAAAAATGGTAATCCCAAGTATTCGTTCCCATTTACATGGTAGTCGGCTGCTGCGCTGCCACTGTAAGTATAAAAAATTCCACCTTTTAGTCTGAAAAAATTACTTAGCCGTGTGGAATTGACCAGTATGAACTCTGAATTTTCTGCTAAATTAACTTTTAAAAGGGCTTACTGGCAGAGGTAGATCACTGCTTCTGTAATATATAATGGGCAAACAATGTTAATCTGGGATGGGCAATCAATGAATTACCCTTACTCTTTCCAATGTTTTTCATGGAGCTTTTACTTTTCTTATAAATAAATCTCTTAATGGGCCCGTAAATTTTGCAACTGCCAAGCTGACTGTGTTATATTAAGGCAGCATTACCCAAAAATTAGGCACCTGTTAAATACAGCCTGCTAACCTCAGGTCTTATGTGAGTGTTTTGCTTTACTCAGACTATTATTTTGGACCTGTTCATGCAATCAAGGTCTTGCCTTCAAGTTTACAATTATGTTAATAAGGAATACAAGAATCAACTGCTGGTTTCATAGCTTCTGGATCTAGTGTCCCTTTTACCTTCAGAAGCCTGAACACATTTATAATGTAACAGATGTTATAGTCTCGAAGTAGATGTCAATCTATTATGTTCAGTACACAGATTGCTGTAAATGTATTGGCTATGAATTCAACAACAGTTCCAGTTTTGTTTAAGCAATAGTACAGCCATAATTTTCAACTGACATTTAAAAATGGTCTAGTTACACCTTGTGTCAAAGTGCAGAACTGCTACATTATTGGTTACAGACATCTATGTGCTATAAAAACAGCTTTGGTACAATAAATTATCAAAAAAGAAAATAAATTTTTGTAAAATTCACAGCATAATTGTGAGGCAAAAAAGCAGTCACATAAAATTCTGCATTTTTAAAAATGTTCAGGATGAACAGAAGACGTCTTTGTGCAGAAGTAATGGTGGAGAAACCACGTGCCGAGAAAAAGCAAAAGAAAAAAGTAAAAAGCAGGAAGGGACACAGTTGTAGCTATTTCCATCAAACGCAAACCACTACTCCTGTGACCTTCAACCAATAAGGAAGTCAACTTTATGACACACGCAAAGTGACCTTGCAATACCTTACAATAAGTGGGTCACAAAAGTCTATTTTAAAAGAAAGGCCTCTTGAATTACCCATTCTCTGTGTTTTCAGCATTAAGGACTGTCTGCAAAAGCATGTCCAAAAGTGATTGCATCTGAAATGGTAGGCTCTTCTAACTTAAGAGTCCAAATCCATAAGGCCAAAGGTTATCCCAAAGACCACCACTTAGACCTCCCCAGGACTGGCCAGGACCGACCCGTTGATTGCTTCTCAGTGCACCTCAGTTATGAAACCAGTCATATTTCAATACTAACTGACTGCAGTCTCCAAAATATGAGACCCAGAGAATCCCATTACAATTGCTGCTTTGATCCTCAGTAGATTCAGAAAAGGAGAGTTCTGATCACCGCCACTCAGCATGCTTAATGTGCCTTACAAACTCCATTACAACCGTCCCTTTTTACAGCTGAAGAATATATATTTGTGTAATCTGAAGGTCCCTCTTTCTTACAGTACTGCATTTCTGTGCCCATGTTTGTTTGGGGAACTAAAAAAAATATATATATTACTTACTCCCCTCCCACCCAAAAACTTCAAAGGGCCTTTTTATAAATCATGTGCAATGCCTTTAAAATGAAACTAGTTTGCAGCTACAACTAACATTTGAACAATAACCCCTGTTGAATGAGACCAAAAAAAAAACCCTCCCCCAGAAAACAAACTATGACTAGGTTGTGGCAAGTTAAAATGGGGGAAGCAAAAGGTGAATACCACTAAGCTATCCATTAAGGTGGGTCCGGACATGGCTCTTAAAAAAAAAAAAAAAAAAAAAAAAAAACCCAACCAAAAAAAACCAACCCCCAAAAACCAACAAAAAAAACTTCATTGTCCCTTTGCAATCTT